CCAATCACCTAATTCCAACTCCACCAAGTTATCAGACAAAAATGTAGCACCACCACTCATCATCCATGGCGGAAAGCTCTTTCCCATGTAACAATAAATGGATAAACTTTTCAAGTTTGAGTGAGGCTGAAGACCATCTAGAACCTCCACATGGTTGCTGCAGTTTCCTTCCAATTCATTCCATTGCAATTTCAAATGGTGCAATCTTGTCTTTCCTTGTAGGTTTGCTTTTATGGCTTCTGATTTTGATCCAACTTGTTCAAGGTTCCGAATCTCCAATTCTCCTCTGAGTTGGGTTAAGCCTCCCAGCTCTTCAATGCCACTCCCCTTTTCTTTGCTTACAAAAAATAAAGGTAATGTTTGAAGGGAAGTTAGGTCCCCAAGCCCCCTTGGCACATGCTTTTCAATAGAAAAATAAAGGTGCCTCAAGCTCACTAGATTGCTCATATTATCAGGGATCCATGGAATAGAATGGCACCAGTTTAGTCTAAGAGTTTGCAAATGGTAGAGCTTGGAAAGGGATCCTGGTAGTGCTTTAAATTTGCCATTTGATATGTCAAGGTATCTCAAATGCTTTAGTTCACCAAGAGCAGGACACAACTCTTCTGTCTTGGCTTGCATTAATTTTAAAGATCGTAAACTTTTGAGATCAGATGCCACGTTATTGAAAACATCAGCATCCTTTTCTATGAACAAAGAACGTAGCCTTTGACAGAGATCAGTTGGAATGCATGGAAGTCCACTCCCATTGTGCTTGACTCTCAAATGTAGAATAGTAGCATTTTTGTCAATCTTGCAACCAGACTTCCAGATTAAAGTTTCATCTTCTGAAATAGCCAATGCCAGATCATGCACTACGTCATGCATCTGGCAAGAAATGATATCTCCATATTTATTCCTTCTCACTTCTTGAAATAAGGAATTAGATAACAAATAGTTAAAGTAAGCATCACCAATTTCTTCCATTGTCCTGGATCTTTCATTAGGTTGGTGAAGAAATCCCTGAGCCATCCAGAGTTGAACTAAATCATCCTTTCCAATGCGAAAATCTTTTGGAAATATTGAACAATAAGAGAAGCATTTTTTCAAAGGTGGAAGCAAATGATCAAAACTGATTTTCAGTATGGATAAAATCCATTTTCCATCTTCTGAATCCAAATTCCATGCATCATCATCTCTGATAGCCTCCCACGCACTTTTTTGAATTTCAGAGCTCAATGTTCCTCCGATAACAGCTGCTATCAATGGCAAGCCCCCACACTTTTTGGCAATAACCAACCCAATATCTTTCAAATTAGGAGAAATTGATTGTAGGCCCGATAGTTCGAGAACCCTCTTTTCAATTATTGACCAGCACTCATCATCTGATAACTTCTGCATTTTATAAATTTGCATAGAATTTTGCATAAGATTCATTTTCCTCATCTCAAGTGCTACCTCTTCATCACGAGTTGTCACCATAATGGAATTCCCCCTTGTCCTCAAAATTCCTGAGAGACGACTGTTGAAAGCAATCCACTTGGATTTATCTTTGTTCCACACGTCATCAAGAATGAGAAGAAAAGATTTCTTCTCTATTTTTTTTGCGAGATCTTCAACAAGTACATTGATACTCCTTGGAATGACACCAGGCTCACCAACCTTTAAATGTTCATACATCTCTCTCACAATTGCTTGCTCATTAAAGTCTTCAGAGACACACACCCAAGCGACTAGATCATAGCGCTTTTCTTCCTTTGCCTTCTTGTATATTGATCTTGCTACTGTTGTCTTTCCAAGGCCCCCCATGCCAACTATTGAAACACCAGAGATTGGATGTTTATTCCTCCAGTTATCCAACATGCTAAGAATTTCCGAAACATCATCTCTCCTTCCAACAACATCTGAACAATCAAGAAGGGAGTCTGTCGGTGTAAATTGCCTAGCAGTTGGATGACATTGTTGGCATGCCTTCAGATTTAGCAGAGAAACGCGCTCTTTTAATCTATCAAAGCGCGAATTGATGTCCTTTATTCTGTCACCTATATCAGAACCAAGGGTGAAACTGGGGGTACTGCTTTTCTTTTTCTTCTCCCCTTCCTTCTTCCCGTTTAGAGGCTTAAGCTGGTACTGAAGATCCTCATAATCACACTCATCAAGTACATCCTCAGCGTCATAAGCTACCTTTTGGAGATCTTGTAGCCAGAGCCTTACAGGGTCATCACTTTCTCTTCCCTGTTGTCCCTCTGCAACTTTAAGTACAGCCTGGATCATCTTGAGTGAATCTTCAAGTTTCTCCAGCTCCGTTACGGGATCAAAACGCGAACTTGAACCAGAAGCTCTCCACCGTCCATAAGCAAGTGAAATCAATTTGGAAATCGACCTCTCTATAATAGGAGCGAGGATGAGGCTGGTGACAAGCTCAGGTATCATGCTTGGACACAGAGAAAGATCGTGCTGAGACAGGAAAAAACAGAATATTGTTGTGAGAGCCGAGATGAGGAAATGAATTATAGATGAAGATCCTACACAAATTTCATTTGAGAACTTGCAGAAAAACCTAGGTATCAAATTATACTCTCTTTTTTTTTTAATCTGATGTTCATCATATAATGCATATTACCTTTATTTTTTTCTTTTAACACGAGCGTGGGACTGAACCCCACAGATGAGATTGTCCTTTCAAGCCACAGGTGGCCACTTGCACTTCTCAATACATATTACCAATTGATTGAATAGATAAATGGAAGATCATATAACTAAATAGACTAGCTAGGTTTAAGAGAACAATAACGGAGCTAAATGGATCTCTGGAAGCATAAAGAAATCAGAGGAACCTGAAATAAAACCAAGAAACGAGTCCTTACCAGATCACAAATGCTTAGCCGGACGGAAAGATAGCAAACTCAGAGAGAATTAGGAATTTAGGAGAGAACACTATGTAGAGTCGGCAGAAATGATAAGCAAGTTGTGGATGTAGTATAAGTCAAAAGGTGCATTCATCCTACTTCTTTCTATTAATTTTTAATTTAACTTGTACCGTGCAGAGTTGCAACCTGTTCCACTTTAATTGTTTTTTTCTGCCCCACCTTTCGGTGGAGCATTATTGACCTTAACTTTATCTGTGTGTCAGTGTGTGTAATAATGCCCTAGCCCCTGTCGGTGTGCAATGGTGGGAAGTTTCCTTCATATTTCCACTTCAATTATTTTGTCCATTCAATTTCTTTATAAAAAAACTCGGTGTTTTTTTGGTCATTTACGCAAGTTTTGCATTGACTTTCCTTCCTTGAGCCACTATTCATTGAAAACTCAATGATTGAAGAACTGTAGTAAATTGCAAAAATAATG